TCACCATGGAGCAACAGATCCGATCTCTGTGACTGCCTGATCAACTACTCAGGGATTGATCATGATCCAGATGGAATATCCCGAAAGCACAAACTTGGGAGAGACCTGAGGAGTGCTGAATTCCAGGGCACCACCCCCTACCCTGATCTAGCCCCAGGGAAACAAGGTGTGGCCAGAAAAGGATGAGGAGAACTCCAAAGAGATCAGTGGTGAGTCTGTGGCTGACCCAAACCCCCTGCCTCCCAGCTATCCTCTGAGCATCAGACCCACACAGCTTGGCCACGACTGCCAGGGACAAACCCAGGTGGAGCCTGGACATCAATTACAATAGGAGAACTCCATTCCAGGATAGGCCTGGCTGGGAAATGCCCCCAAGTACATACTAGGTGAAGAGATCTCCCAGACCATACAAGAGTGGGAGGGAAGGACTGCCCCACCCACCTACACTGCCCCACTTCCTTCCCTGCTTCAGACATTGAGAAGAAAGTGAAAGAGGTGGTTTTGCAGGAGCAACCTAATTAGAGGAGCAATTACAGAGCCTGCACAAGAGGGCAGGTTTTATTTATTTTAGTTTTCAATTTTTTTTAATTTTTAAAAATTTTTTGACAGTTTGCTAGTTCATCTATTTTTAAAATATTTTTCCTCTGTGCATGAATGTGTATGTGAAGGTTTGACCTGCATCCCCCCAAAATATTTTTTTCTTTTCTTTATTTCTTTCTTTCTTCTTTTATTTGTCATTTTCTGTTCATGTGTGTACGTGAATAATTGAGTCTTTCAATTTTGTTGTTGGTGGTTTGTTTTTGCTCTTTTGTTTTTGTGGGGTTTTTAAATTTTCATTTCTTATAGTTTAAGATGTGTGTCAATATATGTGTGAGGGTTCGACCTGAATTCCTTTTTTTTCTTTTCCCTCTGGTCTTTCTGCTTTTCTTTTCTATTCACTTTATGGTATGCATGTGTGTGTGTGTTTAGTTTTCTTAGATTTTTGTTGTTGTTGTTTGTTTTGTTTCACTTTGTTGTTATTCCAATTTGTTTTGGGGTGTGTGGGTATGTCTCTGTGTGTGTGTGTGTGTGTGTGTGTGTGTGTGTGTGTGTGTGTGTGTGTTCAATTGTTTTTTGCATTGGTTTCTGCTTTGCATTGTCATATAGAGTGGTGGTGAGAAGTGGATCTCAGGGAACACATACCACAATAAGTGAACATTGTAATTTGCAAGTGGTTACAAAAAAAGGACCTTGGTCAAACGGCTTTCCAGCAGAATTCTACAAAACATACAAGGAGGAGCTGATACCAATCCTACTGAAAGTATTCCAGACAATTGAGAAAGATGGAAATCTCTGCAAATCATTTTACAAAGCTAACATCACACTGATACACAAACTGGGTAAAGACTCAACAAAAAAAGAGAACTACAGGCCAATATCCCTGATGAAAATAGATGCAAAAATCCTCAAAAAGATTCTAGCAAATAAGATCCAAAAACACATCTCAAAAATCACCCAACATGGGGAAATGGGGTGGGGACAAGGATGTGGATGTGGCAGTAGTGGGAATCTGCCTGGGGAAGGGGGACAAACCTCATCAACAAGGGTATCTGTTTAATGATTATATTTGTATACCTAACCCTGAATTGTACCCCACAATTTAAAACAAAAAATTTAAGTTTAAAAAAAAATGCATCCACCTTAACCAAGTAGGCTTCTTCCCCAGGACCCCAGGATGCAGGGATTGTTCAACATTCACAAGACCTTGAATGTAATTAAATATATCAGCAGATGTAAAAAAAAAAGAACCACATGATTATATCATTAGATGCAGAAAAAGTTTTAGATAAAATTCAGCATCCCTTCTTGATAAAAACTCTCAAACACCTAGGTATAGAAAGAACATACCTCAAAATAGTAAGTGCCATCTATGATAAACCCACAGCTAACATGTTGCTAAATGGACAGAAACTGGAAACATTTCCTCTGAAAACTAGACAAGACAAGGCTGCCCACTCTCACCCCTCTTGTTCAACATTGTGTTGGAAGTTCTAATTAGGGAAAGTAGACAAGAGAGGGAAATCAGGGGTATCCAGGGGTATCCAAATAGTCAAGTTATCCCTCTTTGCTGATGATATGATCCTATACCTTGAAAATACCAAAAGAATCTGTCAAAAATCTGCTAGCACTGATAAAGGACTTTGGCAAAGTCTCAGGGTACAAAATAAATGTGCAAAAGACAGTTATATTCTTATACACCAACAACAAGCAGTCAGAGATCCAAATTAAAAGCACAATCCCATTCATAACAGCCACACACAAAAATGAAATAACTCGGCATCTACCAAACCAGAGAAGTGAAAGACCTACACAATGAGAACTACAAAATACTGCTGAAATAATCCAAGAAGACACAAATGGAAAAGTATTTCATGCTCATGGATAGGAAGATGTCCTATCCTGTTAAGATGTTAAGATGTTAAGATGTTAAGATGTCCATCCTACAAAAGGCAATCTACAGATTCAACGTAATACCCATTAAGTTGCCAATATCATTCATCTCTGAACTGGAAATGACAGTGCAGAAATTCATATGGAAATATAAATGACCACGAATAGTCAAAACAATCCTTAGAAAAGGAAACAAAGCAGGAGGTATCACACTTCCAGATTTCCAACTTTACTGTAAGTCTGCAGCAATCAAAACAACCTGGTATTGGTACATGAACAGGCACATAGACCAATGGAACAGGATAGAGATTCTGGAAGCAAAGCCTCAATTCCTCAACCAACTCATCTTTGACAAACCCTCCAATAATAACCATTGGGGAGAGGAGAACCTATTCAGTAAATGGTGCTGGGAAAACGGACTGACCACATGCAGAAGATTGAAACAAGACCCCTACCTATCACCATACATAAAAATTTACTCTAAATGAATTAAAGACCTAACATAAAGCCTCAAACTATAAGAATCTTAGAAAACGCAGGAGACAATCTTATGAAAATTGGAACTGGCAACCAATTCCTATTCAGAACCCCAAATGCCTGTACCTTAAGGAATAAGATAGATAAGTGGGACCTCGTCAAACTAACAAGCTTCTGCAAAGCAAAAGAAACCATCAAGAGAGCAGGGAGACAACTCACAGAATGGGAAAAAAATGTTTGTCAACTGTGTATCTGACAAAGACCTAACATCTAGGATCTATAAGGAACTCAAACGTGCTGAAAGGAAAAAAACAATCAGCCCCATTAAAAAGTGGGCAAAAGGCATGAATAGACACTTCTGAAAAGAAGATATATGGGCAGCCAACAGACACTTGAAAAAGTCTTCAGCCTCACTCATCATCAGAGAAATGCAAATCAAAACCACACTGAGATACCACCTTACCCCAGTAAGAATGGCCATCATTAATAAAACAAACAACACATGCTGGCAAGGATGCGGAGTAAAAGGAACGCTTCTACACTGCTGGTGGGATGCAAATTAGTGCAACCTCTTTGGAAGACAATGTGGTGGTTTCTGAAAGAACTAGAAATTGACCTTCCATATGACCCAACAATTCCCCTATTGGGAATATACCAGGGGGAACTCAAATCATTCTACAAAAAAGATACCTGCACACGTATGCTTGTTGCAGCTCTATTCACAACAGCAAAAACATGAAACCAATCATATTGCCCATTGAAGTTGGACTGGATTTTAAAAATGTGGTATATACACATAATGGAATATTATGCAGCCATAAGGAAGGACAAGCATATGGACTTTGCAGCAACTTGGGTGGATTTAAAGTCTATCATACTCAGTGATTTATCATAGAAACAAAAAACAGAGTACCATATGTTCTCACTCATAAGTGGAACTTGAAAAATTATAATACTATAAGAAAAGGATTGGCAGTAATGGGAAACTGTTAGGGGAGTGGCTTGGATTGGCAGTTGAGGAAAACTGGTAGGGGAGGGAGGGGCATATCTCATCAACAAGGGTACTTGCATAATCAATGTTTGTAAACCTAACCCTGAATTGTACCCCACATCTTTATAATAATTAAAAAAGATGCATGTTTATTGCAGCATTATTTATGATAGCAAAAACGTAGAACCAATCATGCTGCCCATCGAAAGAGGACTGGATAAAAAAATTTGGTACATGTACATGATGGAATATTATGCATCCATAAAGAAGGATAAAATTATGAACTTCACAGCAATTTCGATGAACTTAGAATCTATGATACTGAGGAATCTGTCACGGAAACAAAGAACTGAGTATCACCTGTTCTCACTCATAAGCGGATCTTGGACAACTATCAGAATACTATAAGAAAGGGACTGGCAGTAGCAGGAAATTGCCAGGGGATGGGGGCACCCCTCATCAACAAGTACCTGCATAATGAACATTTGTATATCTAACCCTGAATTGTACCCCACATATTTAAAATTAAAAATTTAAAATATAAAAAAAAGAAAAAGAAATTAGGTTAGTATTTGCCTAGGGTGGGGTGGATGCAGAAACAAGGGTTAGGAGATAAAAACTAAAGTGAACAGGGTTTTGAGAGGAGAGACTAAACAGATTGTTGTAATTCTGTGCATATACAAAGAAAACTGAATTTTAGACAACAATTGGAAAACATGTTACATATGAATTATACGTCAACAAAGCTTTAGAGTAAAAATCCCTTGAACCAGGATATTCAAGAAATACTAATTCAGCTGAAAAGTCACAAAAGACCAGTGTCTTATCTTTGCAAGATTATGTTAGCTAAATGATAGCATCCATAAACATAATAGGAACATTAAACATAACTGTGTAAACAGTAGGTCATCTAACTTCTGTTTCTCTCCTTGCCATCCACTTTATCACACTGTGTATGCAATGAACTCACTTCAAAGTTTAACAGTTATATTTTAGCCTGATTGATTTATCTTTAACTGTAAGAAGACACAGGAAAAAAAAAGAAGACAAAAACTGCAGAACAAAGAAGCAGCTGGAAAGGAAGCCTTTGTGTAGCACCAGGATGTCTATGAAATGGACTTCAGTTCTTCTGCTGATACAGATGAGTTGTTACTTCAGGTCTGGGGGTTGTGGAAAGGTGCTGGTGTGGCCCGCAGAATACAGCCATTGGTTGAATATGAAGGCAATCCTGAATGAACTCGTCCAGAGAGGTCATGAGGTGACTGTATTGACATCTTCAGCTTCCATCCTTGTTGACCCCAGTATATCATCCTCTATTAAATTTGAAGTTTATCCTACATCTTTAACTAAAGATGATTTTGAGAATGTTTTTGGGAAATTGGTAGATACATGGATGTATGATCTTCCAAAATATAGCTTTCTGACTTACTTTTCAAAAGTACAAGAAATATTGTGGAAATATTTTGAATGTATTAGAAATCTCTGTAAAGATATTGTTTTGAACAAGAAACTTATGGATAAACTACAAACATCAAAGTTTGATGTCATTCTTGCTGATCCTGCTGGTCTTGGTGGAGAGCTGCTGGCTGAAGTGCTTAAAATACCCTTTGTGTACAGTCTTCGCTTCTCTCCTGGCTACATATTTGAAAAGTATAGTAAAGGATTTCTGTTCCCTCCTTCCTATGTACCTGTCGTGCTGTCAGAATTAAGTGATCAAATGACATTTACGGAGAGAATACAAAATATGTTATATATGCTTTATTTTGACTTTTGCTTTCAAATACTTGACACGAAGAAATGGGATCAGTTTTACAGTGAAATATTAGGTAAGTCATATTTTCAATTGGTGGCTATTAAGTCCTAACCTTCCATGTGTTTTTAAGGTGAAATTATATGAATATAAAGTCAGAGGAGTGAGATTTCTTTAAGTGATATGATGAAATAAAAATATATGATGATCTATCGATCTCACAAATTGTATGGAAAACTGACATTATAGGAGTAGTTAGAATCTTGTGATTATCATTCATATAGGACAATCAAGGAAGTCATAAATCTGAAAATTGAAGCATTTGTGATTTTTAAACAATAATATCCATTTTACTATGCTTTTTATTTTTAAGAATGTCAATAGGCATATCAAGAAACATCTTGAAGAAAGCAGACATATCTGTTAAAAAGTTGCACATATTTCTGGCACAATTTTCATGATAACATTGAGTTGTTTCTCCTTGTGTAACTCAGTCTCCCCATTTAGAAATTAAATTATTTTTTCATTAGCCAGAAAGAGTCCTTCTCATTTAAGAGATATGGTAGCTTTATTCTAGAAACAAAGACCTAAAATAATTTGAAGGTCCTAATGCTCCTACATTATTTAACAAAGGGCTTGAAATTATTTAAGGACTAAATTCTTGTTGAAGTGTGAAAAATCTAAGTTTTATATATGCATTTTATTAAACTATCTCTTTATTAAGGAAAATATGATCCAAATTAAGGGGGAGTAAAAAAATCTCTATTTCAACAACTTCTGAAATTTTTTGAGCTATCATTTGTAAATATATTTATTTTTTAAAACTAATATCAATGTGGTCTTAACATAAAACAAAAGCAGTGGTAAGTACAAGGATTTCAACCATACTCTAAAAACTAACAGTTCACTTGCAGAACTAAGTATCAAAGGACTAGTTTATTACATTCTAGAAACTAGACTGAGTACCTCTGAAGAAGCTTTTTTAATGATTATGGTCGTATTAATTGATTGTGAAGCTCAAAGAGGTGATTAAATGTATACTTGTAACTATTGCAGCTTTAGAGAGTAAACAAATGCATGTTTAACAAAACAGTGGCATACATAATAATTACTTCTAATTGTAAATATACTAATGTGACATTAGAGGCAATATTTCTTTACAATTTTATTAACATTTTGCCTTTCCTATATATTCAGGTTAACAGCAATACATGAAAAGTATATAATGCTTATGTACAAACATACATATATATTGTTCTCTCAAAGCACAGATGCTGCATATGTCTTTAGCTACATTATTTCAAATGTTTTCAGGAAAATACCTGTATATTTACGTGACAACTTTCTTGTGTCATCCACCATTTAATTATTTTTTAACTTTTGGCTACTTTTTTTTTCTTCAGGAAGACCTACTACATTCTCTGAAACAATGGGGAAAGCTGAAATGTGGCTAATTCGAACCTATTGGGATTTTGAATTTCCTCGCCCATTCTTACCAAATGTTGATTTTGTTGGAGGACTTCACTGTAAGCCTGCCAAAGACCTACCAAAGGTAAAGATACTTTTGGTTTTCTTCTCTTTGCTTTGCATTTTCGGAAGAAATGACTCTGTGTTTTTCATTCAGAGTGTTTGATTCACAGTGAAATATAGAAGTCAAGTAAAATGACTTGCCATTAGTAGCTCATATATTTTTATACTATCACAAATATTTGAATTTCATGATGCTTATACCATAAAGAGGGATACCAAGAAGACTCAAGAACTGGAAAAAAAAACCACTGGTCAGTATTGAATTTTCAGAAAAACAAATTAAGCATAGTTTCTGACCCCACACACCCTATGTTCCACTTTGAAAGACAGAATAGAGCTTTGGCCCCCGCTCTTATCTTGGGGAGGTGAATCTTTTTTCTCTCTCTCTCTAATTTACTTTCTAAATAAACAATATTTTCCAATCTGTAAAAAAAGATAGAATAGAAGCATGCAAAAAAAAAAAAGTCTGAAAAGTGCTATAAGTAAAGACCACAATGATAACTTATATCCAGAACAGATTCCAAAGTCATTCATAATATTTGATCCCTGAACAATATGTAGGAAAAGGTGAAAAGATGAGGGAGTAAAGAACACACAATAAGACAAGCAAGTAGAGAAATAAGAATTGTCCCAAGACTCCATGTTTAGTTTGCAGGAAAAGGCTGAATATAGAGGGAATTGATGCTGGAAAGGTAAGTTGAAGCTAATTATTACAAGGAGTTTGGGTATATATTGAAGGCATTGGGAAGGTGTTGCATAGACAAGAAATGGAGACATACGATCAGATTTTCTTGATTTAAAAAAAAACTCCCAAGAATCAAGATGTTAGATATATTGAATTGTAGAAGGACAAGATTGGGAAGAGTAGACAGTTTAGGAAATTTTGCATAAGTTCAGGCAACAAATGGTGGAAAGTGGAGTAGAATGTTGATAGAGAAAACTACACCTACTTTTACCATAATAGCAACAACTTCATAATGCGTTGTGTGGAAAGAATTGTTAATATACATGAAACAGGTAAAATGTTTCTGACACATAGTGACCCAGAAATATTATTAATATCATAATCATTTTTATTGTTAATGTTATCAAATAGGTAACACATATCACCCATTTGAGAAGAATTATTCATTTACTGGGGACTGGTTTGCCAACATTTCAAGATTGTATTCTCTAGCAAGTCCTTGATAAAATACCCTGTGGACTTGTTTAAATTTAGATGTTTAAATTTTGTCAATAGGATTAACAACTTGAAATGTTATAATTTTATTGACCGTGATGAAGTTCTTCCCCAGTATTCTAGCTTAAAAAGGAAAACATTCCTCAACAACATAAATGCGTGCCCCCAAGATATTTCCAGCCAAACCCAATGATTACTTGCTTTCATTGCAGTATGTAAACCATTTATTCCTAATCTCAGAGTTTTACTTCTTAGACCATAAAAGAGATGATTTATCTTATCAGAAAATATGTTTTCTGCCTAAGGCCAACTCTGTAGTACACCTCATTCAAGCTAACTTGAAGAACTTGGTCTCAATCTTATAACTGCCTAACATACAAGCACAGAGAAAATGTAACTGCATATATAATAAAAACTAAATAATTTCTACCACTTTAACTAAAACAGCCCATAGGGTTTAATTACAAAAGAATTGTATCACCATGTCAGCATATAGGATGATATGCATTCAGAAGGCACACAAGAACCTAACATATTTTAATTTAATATCATACTTTTAAAAAGACATAAGTAGAAATCTTTACTACATCATTGAAAAAAAATTCCTAAGAACTCGTCAATCTTTTTGTTAGCAGCAGCATAAAACAGAAATTTTCTTCAAGAGATAAAATCCAATATTTGCATTGAATACAAATTGTTTAGTATGTTTATATATAATAACTTTTACAATCTATAAAAGCAGAGGTTAGATTAATGAAAATTATATGCAATTGATCCCTATTGTCAAGCTTCCCCTTCATATAAAGGAAACCATAGGACTACTGGGAGTGAAAACAAAGAAGAAAGAGAAAGAAGACAGGGAAAAATGTCTAATAATGGAGTAGGAATATTTACTTTTATTGGTTGTTGTTATTAACTTACAAAAGGAAAATTTGAATCCAAGTCAATGATTACAAAATCTCTCCTCTCTTTATTTTATAAAATAAATGTTACACCAAATTTCTTTCTTTTCCTTTAAGTATTAGATTCTCAGATGATGTCTATATATTTTAATAGAATAAAACACTTTGAAAATGTATCACGTTTTAAAGACCATGTAGCCATTGCTTTCATAACACATCCATATTCATCTATATAGTCAGAAAAAAAAATAAATCAAGATGGAAAGATTCAATATCTGTGGAATATATTCATAAAATGAACATTGCAATAATTCAAATATATTTCTAAATTATTATACATTTGTTTCAAATACCATAAATTAATAAATGATTATAAACTTTGAGTATCACAGAGTCATGTTGTCAAAAAATGTTTAATTACACTGTCATCCATAACACAATTTACTTGAAAACTGAGGTAAAAAATAAGGAATAGAACAAGATCACAATTTCTTGTGGAACAAAAGCATATATATATATATATATATATATATATATATATGGATTAAAACATCTAAATAGATCACATGTTTACATTGAGTTATATAATAAAATAAAAACAAATAAGAGCACATTCATTTTAAATCAGGAAATTCTCTAGGCAGAAAATATATGAGAAAAGCATTTCTTTCTCTTTTTTTTTTTTGAGGCGGAATCTCACTGTGTTGTCCATCCTGGAGTGCGGCAGCGTGCTGCTCATAGCCACCACAGTCTCAACCTTCTGAGCTCAGGCAATCCTTCTGCCTCAATCTTCCAAGTAGCTGGAAATACAGGCATGTGCCACCGTGCCTGGCTAATTTTTTGATTTATTGTAGAGACAAGGTCTCACCAAGTTGTCCATGCTGGTCTCGAACCTGTGGACTCAGGCAATCCTCTCACCTCAGTCTTCAAGTGCTGGTATTACAGGCCTGAGCCACCACACTTGGCCTATTCCCTTTTTAAAAATTTACATATTTTTACAAAATTTCTCACCCTGATCTTGTATAATTTTCATAAGACATCACAGAACAAGATCAGTAGTACATCTGTAAAAATAGAGCACATTACTTCAATGCTAGGTGGATGGAGAATACTCTGGGCAACAAGCCAGTGTGATGCAACATTAAACACAAGTTACATTAATGTGGCAGCAGGCAATGGTAATTACACAAACTACATGGCATGGATACCCGATGTACTACCTGAAATAGTAATGCAACGGCTCTCACATAAAACGTGATGTCATAGGTACAAATTGCGTTTTTGAAAAATATTTGGCAATATGTGCTGTGCATGCTCAAAGTATAATTTTTTTTTATTATTTCAATAATAGTTTTAAAACAAAGTTTTATCCTAGTGGTTAGAATCTGAAATTATACTTGTTATTTTGAAAAGAATTGGTCATTGTTTTATAGTAAGAAAAATAAATAATAAATAAAAATGAAAGTAATAATAATGGAAAAAGGGGTATGCAAATTTGATATTATTTTCAGAAAAGTTTTGTCTCTACATATCTTACTTTCTTGGAGTGAGTACATTGATCAATGTGAAATACAATCCCTCAGTGCTTATATTCAAGAAAGGGCTCCATTGTTCCACATTAAAAGAATTCTATGAAAATAACTTCTTGAAATCAACACAAGACTTCTGGTGGAACTACAATGACATAGAATTGAAGTCAAGTGACATCAACTTCCGAGACCCTATATTAGTAATTACAAATTATAAATGAAAAGTCTGAGTATAATATTTTCTAGCATTATCTTCTTTGACTACAGTGTAATAGCGCTTTCATTGTTTCTATCACATGCATATATACATGGGCACACACACACGTTTAACACAAATATGGACAATAGAGGCCATTTATCTCTTATTACAAATCTCCTTCCTAAGAAACTAATTTATTATATCAGCTTAAACCCATTCATTACTGCAAAAAGTTTTGATAATACCTGATTTTCTAGCCTTACTTTATTGTAGCAATGTTTTCAATAGTGTTTGCTGCTTGAATACCTTTTTGTGATGGTGCAAAATTTCTTCACAGGAAATGGAAGACTTTGTCCAGAGTTCTGGAGAAAATGGTGTTGTTGTGTTTTCTCTGGGGTCAATGGTCAGTGACCTCACAGAAGAAAGGGTCAATGTGATTGCTTCAGCCCTTGCCCAGATCCCACAAAAGGTTAGATTAAGTGCCTCAGTGATGGGCAGCCAATGAATACATATGTTAAACTCCTTATAAAGAATCCAGTTATAATAATTTTCTGCCAAAATTTTAACTTATAGGATAGCTCTAATTATCTTAGATACCAGCTCAAAATCAAAAATATATGTACATAAGATACTAAAATAGTAAAGGGGGGTTTGATTTATCATCACTTTGTCATTAACATAGTTATCAGAAAGAAATACGCTTAGGAAGTGCAGGTGAAGTTTGGGTACTACCATGGCATTCCAGGCAGGTCCACAGAAATCACCAAGTTCTGCCCGTTGCTTGCTTCCTTTGCTTACAGATTTCCTGAGGACACTGTGCACACAACAGAAATTATCAGAGGAGTTAAACTTTAATGAATAACTGCACTAGCACAACAAAAAGTGGGTATTGACGTGTGAAGTCCATCACACTGTTTAGGCTTGTCATGTAACCTAGCTTCCTGTACTTCCTGTACTTTTTGGAATTAGGTCTATTTGGTATGCTGTCTAGGATGCTATTCAGATGAGATGACCTGAGCTGACAAACCACCAGTCCATATATCCACCTAGGTAAATGGATTTAGAGAATGAGCAAAACTTGCCTGCCCTGCTGGGTTGGACCCTGTTAAAGTCTTAAGCATAAAGATATTGTAGAAAGGATGGAGATCAAATCCCACCCTTATTGTAGACTTTGCTCATTATAAAGTCTGACGCCACAAGGACTCCGCTTTAACCATCAGATGAACACTTTCTCCTTATTGAGGAGGAAAAGGTTATAAGGAGTAAAGCAAAAGGAAACTAGACATAGGGAAAGTTTCAGATGCACCTTTCCAAAAAATATATTAGGAATTTACTTTTGAATAGAATACATCTGCTGTTTTTGTGTATTTGTAAATTACTTTTTTATTTCCTTACACAGTCTTCTTCTAAAGACCTATGCTAATTTTTTGTTGAAAACTCAAAGCCACTCTACACACATAGCGAATACAAGGCAAACACTTGTAAATTATGTTCCTGATTATAAAGATTGCTTGGGAATTCTAAAATAAGTATCTTATTCTGGTACTGTGCATGACAATGACTGGGATATACTGAATCATATTAAAAATGCTGGCAATGCTTTGTACTTAATCATCTAATGATCAAGTAAGTAATATTTAGGAAAATACCATTTATTCTTTTTCAAGAGCTGTCTTGTTACACATGCATTGCCAACTGGCTCTTTTTTCCTACAAAGAAACAATTTCCAGTACTTTGATAATACTTTGATTCCACTCAAGACTTGCATTTTGAAATTTGTCTTGAAAGTACCACTTAACAATATGTAAACTAAGAAGTTGTGCATACTACCTATGTGGCATTGATTTATTTCTCACAAGTAGTTGACTTATTTCTTGTAAATCGAAAAATGCCAAACTTTAATAAAATAACTGATAGATAAATAGATATAAATAAACTGCTTATAGCACTCAAGAGGAAATAAATTAACATTAAGTTTGGAAAGTTACAACTAGTACAAGATACACAAAATAAATTTATAGATCACTACTAATTTGATATTGTTCTTTGCATTGTATTATATCTTGTATTATAATGACTGCTTAACAATTTCTTAAATGCTTAATATTTTACTGATAATCTCATTTTTCAAAGCTGTTTTGAAACAGATGATTTTCTTATATGACAATTTGACTATAAAAGTTAGCACATGAAATGTGAATATTCTCTTTACCTCAGACTTCCAGTAGTTCTCATTAATTAACATCCCTGTACTCATTTCTTCAGCTTACATATAAGGAGTTTAATTCGATAACTGTTCATCTTTTGGGGGTTCTAACACATAATGATGTTGGAGTTTCAGTCATGAAATAAGATTTCTTTTTACCCTAACAGGTTCTATGGAAATTTAATGGCAAGAAACCACATACTTTAGGACCCAATACTCGACTGTACAAGTGGATACCCCAGAATGACCTTCTCGGTAAAAACTCAGAGCAAATACTGAATATGATTAACAGCCAGTTAGAGTGATAGTTTAACAGAAAACAAGATTACTGAACATGTATTATTGAAAACAAAAACAAAACCTAACTAGTTCACATTATTTTCCAGTACTAAGGGGGGAAAGATAAAATATGGCAGTTAGTATTTTATTATATACACTAATAATATATTCTATTATCAGAATCAAAGTATGTTCATTTCAGGTGAAAATTTCTCTCATAGAGAGTTTTTTAGCAACTGCTTTGGTTGTCTCTCTGTCCCCTATGTCTACAAACCTACACCTGCCCTTTCCTCTAACTGTACTATCACTATTTAATGCCACTAAAAGTAGCAGTTCTCTTATATTGCCAGTGACTCAGATTTTTTATGGAAATAAATCTACAAACTTTATCATGATGTGGTCATACTCTTTTTAATAAAGTATAACCTGTTCTTCCTCTGGTTTCAGCACCACTAACACCTCACTCTGCTGCCCTCGACATCCAACATGTTAGACTCAGTGTCTGCATCATTAAGAGAACATGATTTACATAGCCAACGTTTTTCTTTTCCTTTTTTAAAAAATTTTATTTTCTTTATCTAAAATGTTTCCTTTTGTCTTTTTCCACCTGGTAATCTTATATCCATTATTCCAGTGTGAAGTGATACACACTAACTCTTCCATGGAGCCTTCACTTCCCTTTGATAGAAGTTGTTGCTTCTGCTTCTGAAATCTGAAAACACTTTTAATGCAATTTCATGAATATAATCATCTGTTACCTAAAAAGTACTGCCTCTTTCAGTGTATTATATTTTATATTTCTAATTTTATTTATAAGACTTATAATGAATAATTTAGCTAAAATTCATCCAATCCTAGGTCACCCCAAAACCAAAGCTTTTATCACTCATGGTGGAACAAATGGCATCTACGAGGCTATCTACCATGGGATCCCTATGGTGGGCATCCCTTTGTTTGTGGATCAACCTGATAACATTGCTCGCATAGTGACTAAAGGAGTAGCCCTTAGAGTGGACTTTAACACCATGTCAAGTACAGATTTGCTCAATGCATTGAAGACAGTCATCAATGATCCTATGTGAGTATGACAATTTTTTAGTAGGTGGTATTTATAGGAAGTTTCTCTTGTCAACAGTGAATTTAAGTTTCATCTGCTTTTTAAGAGCCTATTTTTTCTCTCTATTTCAATAGCTTTAGTTGCTACAAATAGTTTTTGGTTACATGGATGCATTGTATAGTGGCAAAAAAATCTGTAGTTCAAGAGTACCCGCACTTGCACCTGTCCACATTGTACACAATACGTGATTATTAATCCCTTGATGTTTCTCCCCCTCCCCCTCTGAGTCTTCAGTGAACATGATATGATTTATTCTCTGTGCCTTGGCAGATCCTTAGTTTGGGATCCACCTATAAGTGGGGATGTGTGGTGTTTGGGTTTCTGCAACTGTGTTATTTCACTTAGAATGATAGTCTCCAACTCCACCCAAGTTGCTGTAAAAGGCATTAATTCATTTTTATAATGAGTGAATAGTATTTCATGGTATATTTATTTCACATTTTTATTTTAATTGATCTGTTGATGTGCAGTTAGGTTGACTGTACCTCTTTGCAATTGTGAATTTTACTGTGATTAACATGTGAGTATAGGTGTCTTTTTTGAGTAACAACCTCTATTCCTTTGGGTAGATACCTCATAGTGGGATGGCTGCATCAAATGGTAGATCGACTTATACTTCTTCGAGAAATCTTCATACTGATTTCCATAGATATTGTGCTAATTTACACTCCCACCAACAGTGTTTAAGTGCTCCCTTTTCCTTGCATCTAAACCAGAATCATGTGTTTGTTTTAATTTTTTAGCAATGGTTATTCTGACTGGTGAAAGGTGATATCTCATGGTGGTTTTAAATTGCAATTTTCTAATGATTAGTGATGTTGAGATTTTTTCATATGTTTGTTGGCTATTTGTATATCTCTTTTTAGGAGATGCTGTTTGTGTCCTTTGTCCACTTTTTAGTGGGGTCACTTCCTTTTTTATGCTGATTTGTTAGAGTTTTTTGTAGATCCTGGATATTAGTTCTTTATCAGATGTATAGTTTGCAAATATATTTTCCCAGTGTAGATTGCCTATTTACTCTACTGATTATTTCTTTTGCTATGCAAAAACTGTTTAGTTTAGTTAAGTCCCATTTACTTATTTTTGTTTTTGTTGCATTCAGTTTGGGGTATTTAACCCCAAGTGCTTTGCCTAGGTCAAAGTTCAGAAAAGTTTTTCTTATAGTATTCTTATGAATTTATATCTGACAATTAACTCTTTAATATATCATGGGGTAATTTTTGTATACAGTGAGAGACAGAACTCAAGTCTCATTTTTCTACATATAGGTATACATTTTCCCCAGCATCACTTTTTGAATAGGGTGTCCTTTATGCCAGTGTATATTTTCATCTGCTTTACAAAGATGATTTTGGTTATAGGTATTTGGGTTTATTTCTGGGATACTCTATTCTGTTCCATTAGTCCACATGTCTGCTCTTGTACCAGTACCATGCCGTTTGGTTATTACAACCTGATAGTATAATTTGAAGTGAGGTATTGTGATGTGTAAAATTTTATTCTTTTTGCTCAGGTTTGTTTGACTTTTCTGGATCCTTTTTGGTTCCATATAAATTTTAGAATATTATCTTCTTATTCTGTGAAAAATGATGTTGATAGTTTAACAGAGATTGCGCTGAATCTGTAGATTGCTTTGGGTAATATGGTCATTTTAACAGTATTGATTCTTCTATTCCATGAGCATGGGATATTTTTTCATTTGTTCTGTCCTCTATAATTTTGTTCCTCAGAGTTTTGTAGTTCTCCTTGTAGACATGTTTCATTTCCTTGACTAAATGCATTACATTCCCAGGTAATTTAGCATTTTGACAGCTATTATAAGTGAAATTTAGTTCTTAATTTGATTCTCACCCTTTTAGTAACCCTTTTAGTGTATAGCAGGGTTACTGATTTGTGTGTGTTGCTTTTATATTCTGAAACTTTATTTAATTCATTTATCAAGTGCAGGAGTCTTTTGGATGGATCTTTAGGATTTGATAGGTATATACTCATACTACTGGCATACAAAAATAGCTAGATTGCGTCTACCAATTTGGATAACTTTTATTTCTCTTATCTGATTTCACTAGATGAAACTTCCAGTATTATGTTAAATGAGAGTAGCAAAAGTGAGCCTCCTTGCCTCGTTCCAGTTCTGGAAGGAATTGCATTCAACTTTTCTCCATTTAGTATAATATTGATTGTGGACTTGTTGTCTATGATTTTTATTATTTTGAGAAATGTTCCTTCTATGCCTATTTTGCTAAAGGTTTCATGATAAAGGAATGCTAGGTTTTATCAGTACTTTCTCTGCATCTAATGAAATGATCATTTTCTTTTTGTTTTTAATTCTGTCAATGTGGTGAATCACGGTTTTTGATTTGCATACTTTTAACCACTTTGCATTCCTGAAATCATGGTGAATTATGTTTCTTTCGTGTGCTGTTGAATTATGTTTGTTTACTATTTTGTTGAGTGCTTATGCCTCTATGTTCATCAGGGATATTGGCTTCCTGTTTGTTTTTGTTTTTGCTGTTGGTGTCTTTTTTCTTTTTTAATGTGTGTATTCTCCTGGCTTTGGTATAAGGGTGATACTGGCTTCAAGGGATTAGTTAGGGAGAAGTCCCTTCACTTCCATCTTATAAAATAGTTTCAGTAAATTTGGTAACAATTCTTCCTTGAAAGTCCTGCAGAATTTGGCTGAATCATTCAAGTCCGGGGCTTGTTGTTGCTGTTGTTGTTATTTTGCTGAGAGACTTGTAATTTCCATTTCAGTCTCACTACTGGTTATTAGTATTTTCAGTGTTTCTATTTTATTTTAATCGAAGATTAGGAAGTACTATTTCCAAGAATGTATCCATTTTCTCTATATTATCTAGTTTGTTTGCATAGCAGTATTGATAATAACCTCTGACAATTTTTTGTGTTTCCATAGTATCAGATATAATATTACTGTTTTCATTTCTGATTGAACCAATTTGAATCCTCTTTATTCGCTTTTTAATTAATTTAGCTAGTGGTCTATTCATCTTGTTTATTTTTTTAATTGATCCTTTGTATAGATTTTTTTTTATTTTTTGCTTTCTATTTTATTTAGCACCTCATTGGTATTTCTTATTTATTTTCTTCTTCTAGCACTTTTTAAAATTTTTTTCTAGTTCCTCAAAAATGTATGATATTGGGTTGTTGATATGTTACCATTCACTATTTTTTTTTTTTTTTTTGAGTTGGAATCTTACCCTGTCGCCCAGACTGGAGTGCAGTGGCCGCTCCCGGCCACCACAGCCTCGACCTGTTGGGCTCCGGTGATACTTCCGCCTCAGCCTTCCAAGTAGCCAGAATTACAGGCATGCGCTACCACGCCCGGCTGATTTTTTGATTTATTGTAGAGATGAAGTCTCGCTGCCCAGGTGGGTCTTGAACCCGCAGGCTCAGGCAATCCACTCACCTCAGCCTCCCAAAGGCGCGGGATTACAGGCTGAGCCACCGAGCCCAGCTGCATTCACTATTTTTAATGCAGATGTAAAACTCTAAAAATTTTCCTCTGAGCACAGCTTCGACTTTTTCCTAGATGGTTTTGATAGCTTGTTTTATTGTTGTCATTTATCTGAAAGAATGTTGTAATTTTTATATTGCTTTCATTGTTGACCCAAGATTCATTCAGGGGTGGATTGTTCAACTTTCACGTTTTTGTCTGCTTTTGTTAACTCTGGGAGTTCGTTTATATTTTATATATTAGGTGTTTGATATAATTTCAATTTTTTAACTTACAGAGACTTTAATTGTGGTCTGTAATATGATCTTTTTTTGGAGAATGTTCCATGTTTTTATGAGAAAAAAATGTATATTCTGTAGTTTTGGAGTAGAATGCTTTGTAGATATCACTTAGGTTTATTCACTTAGGGTTCAATTTAACTTTAAAGTTTATTTTCTGACTTTTGCCTTGATGATCTGTTTATTGCTGTCAATGGAGTGTTGAAATCTCCTACTATTTTTGTTTTGCTGTGAATCTCTTTTCATAAGACTAGTAGAATTTGTTTAATGAAGTTAGCTGTTAGGTGCATTTATTTTTAAAATTGTTATGCCTTCTTGTTAGATTGATCCCTTTATAATTGCATAGTAACTGTTATCTTTTTTCATAGCTATTATTTTAAGATTGTTCCTTAATTAAAGATAAGTGCACTGAATAAAATGGTTTACAAAATGGGTGTACTAGTAGACAAGTGGTGATATATATTGAAATCTGAGTAATAGTACATTAGTGTCTTCACAATAATTTTTAAATTTATTTTAAAATTTTTTATATTACTTAGCATATGTACACTTATTTTATGTATTTCATACTTAAGTCTTTGTTTTGAAAACACCATATTTAAAATTTTGGGGAGTGAAATGGCAAAATAAGATCCAAACAGTAGAAAAATCCTAGAAGTGCTATTATAGTGTGCCAGGAAAATCCTCTCATGGAGATAACATTAAAGGGGAGATCTCAGAAACAGATAAAAGAAAGCCTCAGGTTATTGTAAGGAAGAATGGTCTAAGAGAGGGAGACAGATAAAAAGTATAAAAGTGCTAAGGTCAGAACACTTTTGGTGGTTTAAAGAATAGAAGTTTAATGTCTCTAGAAGATAGTGTTCTGGGGTAAGTGTTAGGAGAAGTTCCCAGTGTTTTAACATGTAAAGAAGATTTGGATTTTATCTTTAATGAGATGATAAGCCCAAAGATAATCCGTCATTATCTTTGGAATTGTCATTACACAATTCCTTTTAAAAAAAAACCAAGATGACTATTCCCAAATTGCATTTCCACTAACTCACTTATAGCACTAAGAATAGACCATAATATTACCTCTGCTAGAAAGCCTTTAACTTTTTTACCTGACCTACTATTTTCACTTTTTAAGATATTTGTTAATGAGGTAATTCCAATTTAAAAACCAACTTTCTAAGATGACCAAAATTAAGATATTTGAATTCTATGACATCTACTTTGAATCATCTGTGTGACATTTTTCAAAACCTTTTATAGTCTTGATATGCTCTGTGACTTATTTTTAATTTTGGTATTTTTATGGTGATATATCTTTCAGATATAAAGAGAATGCTGTGAAATTATCGAGAATTCATCATGATCAACTAGTAAAGCCCCTAGATAGAGCAGTCTTCTGGATTGAGTTTGTCATGCGCCACAAAGGAGCTAAACACCTCCGGGCTGCAGTCCACGACCTCACTTGGTTCCAGTACCACTCTTTGGATGTGATTGGGTTCCTGCTGGCCTGTGTGGCTACTGTGATATTCACCATCACAAAATGTTGCCTATTTTGTTTCCAGAAGTTTGCTAAAACAAGAAAGAAGGGGAAAAGGGAGTAGTTGTATCAAAATTCTGAAGCTGGGATACCTGATATATGAGACTCCTTCAGTTTATTCTAGCAAGAGGTTATATGATGCAGGATTTATTTTCTTCTGTGATGAAACATCTTTTCCCAACTTACTGTGTTATGTTAAAATGTGTTTATTACAGATTTACTAATTATTTAAACGTTAAAAAATTCAATGTCAAAGATCTGAAAATCAGGAAAAATAAAAATAACATAGGCTGGGCTCGGTGGCTGAGCCTGTAATCCCAGCACTTTGGGAGGCCGAGGTGAGTGGATTGCCTGAGCCCGTGGGTTTGAGATTCACCCGGGCAACCTGGGGAGACCTCATCTCTACAATAAATCAAAAATTAGCCGGATGTGGTTGTACACGCCTATGGTTCCGGCTACTTGGGAGGTTGAGATGGAAGGATCGCTGCATCCCAGTAGGTTGAGGCTGCGGTGGCCGGGAACTGCCATTACACTCCAGTCTGGGCGACAGAGTGAGACTCCAACTCAAAAAAATAAAATAAATAATAATAATAATAATATAAATCTTGTAGATTTTATTGAAATTTATTACTCAAATTATCAAGTAACACCAAAAAATTAATTAACTTAACAAAGTTTCACATGCTATCCGAAACATAAGTACATTACGAAGTCCACTCACAATATCAATACTGTCTCTGCAAATATTCAGAAAACTTTTGCTTCAATTTGAACAGATTTTCTTGTTTAAATGATGCCAAAGAAATTATTAGTAACTGGTGAAAAGCTCTCACTTTCCTTTTGATATTGTGAGAAGAGTAGTACTGCTTTGTTTATATGGTACATCCAGGCTGTGTCACTTTATTCCCCAAATAAACATGACACGGTGTTTCACTTTTTCCAGTTTAAGGAAAATGGATTCAAAAATCAAGACTCATACTTGGAGGAGATTCCAAGATGACAATGATTTCACTTGGAGTGTATGAGTCATCATATTATAAATGAGTGTGCATAAGGACAAATGTGTGTGGGCAAGTGAGTGGGCGAGTGTCTTGAGTGGGGATCCGCGAACAAGTGGCCTGAACCCTCCTGCTGAGACGGCTGCCCCATGCACAGCTATTCAGATCCCAGCATGACCCACAACCCAGAGGCAGGCACCATCTCTGTGACCCTACCTAAAAGACAGATTTGAAAAACAGCTGCTACTGGTGCCAAATCGGACATTGGCACTGGGAACCACAAAGAATACACTGGAAAAACAAATGACCAAGCCCCAATTAAGGAGGAGATGCAGAGACACCCCCACTGCCTTATCCTGGTACTTGGGTGGAGATGGACTCTTGCCTGCCCTTATATTCACCGGACCTACTCCCTGAAACTGAGAGGTGAATTCAGCATCACTTTAAGGTTGATCACTGTCCACCCAGAAAGGTTTCCCTGGGGGCAGTGTCTCCAGAGGGACAGGCTGGTGGGAGAGATCCAGTCGTCTCATCCCCTGAACTGGAACAATTGTGAGACTAGTCTGCAATCAGAGATGAAGAACTCGGCCCACAGCAGATGGTTGGGGGTGAGTTTTGAACTGATTCAACTCCCTTCCCCCAGCGATTCATAATGCCTGTGACCCGCATGGGAGCGAGCTGATAGGTGCATGCAGAGAGAGCCAACACAGGCAGATCTGTGGGGGGGGGGGGGACGGGGAGGTTCATAGCCACTCCCAGACCACATGGTGAGATACAGGACAGAGCTGGAAGTCAGAGCTCCCTCTCCTATGTCATGAGTCTAGTGTAGTGGTGCTTGGATCTGACAAGGAACCCAAAGTTTCAGACACTGCCACAAGAGGGCGATAAAAGATTACAAAAGTTGTTTTTTTGGTTATTTTTGTTTTATTTGGTGCTCTTTTATTATTTCTCTTTTTATTTTTCCCGGCTTTCTCTATATATATTTTGCTGGGTGTTATGTGTGTGTGTATTTTGTTTTGTTTTATTTCTTCTTCTTTTTTCACATAAGGGTATATTTGTATGTGAAAAGGTTCCCACATTGTCAGTTTTAGAATTTATCTTTTTTTCTACTTTTCACTTGTCTGTTGGTTTGTTTGAGTTTCATTATCTACTTCTTTCTCTTCATTTTTTTTCTTCTTTCTCTATTTCTCAGTTATTTTCCATTCCCATATGTTATTTCGTACCCAGGTGATATACATACATTCCCATTGCATGGACTGTGAGGTGGTGTAAAGTGGGTCCCAGGGAGTCCACACCCCAGTCAGCCACCGTTATGATCTGCAGGCAACTTTTGAATCTTAGCATCCCACAGTACACCTTATTCAAATATCAAAGTTGCATGGCTCTCTACCCTTAATCTGGCCTCAAAATCGAACAATTTTGGAGGTTTCACCTAAGGAAATATAGGGGGTTGAGCAAACAGAAGTGAAGACATTCCCTCTTACTGAGCAACATAAGTAAAGAGAAAAGAAAAATTTATCACAAATGTAGAGAAATCATGAAAAAACACTGAAAACCCAGAGAGCTCTAGAAAGACAGTGCTGGAAAATAAAGACCTTAGAACACAAACAGTGATAAGCAACCAGATTGACTTATCTCAAATCATAAATGCAGAGATCAAGGAATGATTGGAAAAGATAAATAAGAATTTAGGCAAGATGAAAAAATGAAATAATTAGTTACAGAGATGCAACCCGTAAAGAATACAGTGAATGAAATAAATAACAAACTGATAAGCATGGAAAGCAGAATTAACCAACAGAAGAAAGAATCTCAGAACTTGAGGACCAAAATATGGAACTAATCTAATCTGTTAAAATCATAGAAAGGAAGCTTAAAGTACAAAACAGAATCTAAAGATATATGCACATATATTAAAAAGCTTAACTTATGCCTTATCAGCTTTCCTAAAGCAGAAAAAGAGACAGAGACCACCTTGGAGCAAACATTCCATGAGGTCATCCAAAAAAACTTCCTTCACTCATCAGAGACATGACCATCCAAACATAAGTGATTCAGAGAACCCTTACAAGGCATCAAGTAAGAAGACTTACTCCTAAACACATAGTAATTCACTTACAATAAGTAGGTATAAAAGAAAAAATCCTAAAGGAAACCAGAGAGAAAGGTTAGACTACCTATTGGGGAAGGCAAAATAGAGTAGCACTAGACATATTTACAGAAACACTATAGGCTAGAAGAGACTGATGTCCAATTTTCAAAGATCTCAAAGACAAGCAAATCCAACCAAGAATTTCCTACCTTCTAAACTAAACTTCATCAGTGATGGAGAATTAAAATTCTTCCCAGAAATTCAATCCCTAAGAGTTTATGCTGCCTCCAGAACAGTTCTACAAGAGACATGTAGAAAGGTATTAAACACAGTAGAAAGGAAAAAAAGGCATGACAACCCACTTCCCAAAAGTTCAGGAAAACAGAGAATCAAAGAGCATGCATTGTAACAACAAAATTGAAAACACACACATATATCAACCACAAGACCATAAATGTAATTCAATACATCAACTGATGTATAAACAAGAATCACATTATGATATTTTTAGACACAGAAAAAGCTTTTAACAAAATCTTTCTTGACATTCCTTTTTGATTAAAAAAAAAAAAAACCCTGAACACTAGGGCATAGGAGAAACATACCTCAAAATAAAAAGACCATCAACAATGAACCCATGGACAACATATTGTTAAAAGGACAAAAATTGGAGCAGTAAGATGGCGATGGGGCAACCCGGTCTCTGAAACCCTCTGCAAAGGAGATCTGCAGTGGGTCTCTGACTCTTGCCCCGGGGGGCTGGGGACCCAAGATCGCAACCTGCTCTTCATACAGAGCTCAGCCGTTTCCACCGCTGGGACATCGCAACAGACTGGACAGTTACTGCGGCACAAACAGTGCCGCTGCCACCGCAGCCCCTCCCCCTGCTGCCGCTGCCGTCGCCGCCGCTGCTGTGGCCTCTGTAACAGATAGCACATCACACCACCCAGGCTGAGGCGATCCACACCAAACCCCTTCAGGGAAGATCTGCTGTGATCGCTGCCACCTCTCCTGCATCCGAGACTGTCCTGCCCACCCGGCGTAAGGCTCCTGTTGCCTGCTCACAGGCAGGCAGCCATCTTGTTCCTGTCCGACCCCACCCTCTCTGGGGCGAGCAGCTGAGATAGTACCACCTGCTGGCGATTCAAGGTAACAACACCAAAATGGGAGTAACAAGCTTGATAAAGACATAGACCAAAGTGCTGAACAGAGGTTAATCTGAACTGTCCTTCACAGCAGATCAGGGGCAACTGACCCTAACTGCAAACTAATTTACCAGCTTGAAAAGAAAACTAGAAATCAGACCTGAAAGGATATAGGACTTAAACGAAATGTCTCAGAGTATACTTCATTGATTCTATTAGCTTAATGACTTAATTCTATTCCTACTGTATTGTTCCCTTTTTTCTTTTTTCCTTTTCTTTTTCTTCTCTTCTCTTCTCTCTGTAAACCATATCTTTGTATAGAGGAACGCACACTAACAAGGTGGTTGGTTAGCTTGTATGTTAGCATCACTATATGTTTTATTTTTATTTTTTATTTTTTTGTATGAGAGTTGGTTCATCTGTAGCTGTGGTCTATTGCTTTTATCTTTTTCAGTATAGGCCTCTCTCTCTATTTGTTGGCACACTCGTTTGTTTCCCCCCTTACTCCTCTATCTCTCCACTCCCCTCTTCAACCCACTATCTGCTCCATTCTCTCCCCTCTGCTAACCACATTTTATTTCAGGGAGTAAACCTACAGCCCCACTGCATGGACAGATTCCAAGGCAGTGGGAAGTAGGTTCCACATTATCCACACACCTGTCAGCGAATACCAGGACCTGCAGGCAGATTTTGAATCACAGCTCTCCCCTTAAGTAAATCTCAGAACTGCAAAAAGGACCACCTCCAACCTAGAGTGCAACTTCAGAATTGAACAAAGTAGGAGGACATACATAAAGAAGAGGAGATTGCACAAACAGAAGTAAAACCAATCCCTTTACCCCTGAATAACAGAATTAAAGAAGACAGTGACATGGAGGGAAGGAAAAAGTAGGGAGGGGGAAAAACTGCACAAATGAAGAAAAACCAA